GAGCTAAGGCAAAAATGTGTGAGCCGGAGGCTACAAATCTGTGAGCTAGCTCACACTAACTCTGCTTAGAGGGAACACTGTTCACTACTGGCTGCCACCACTCTGGTATGGGTCTCCTTGGGGGAGGGGCAGACACCCACCCAGCCCCCTTTTTACAGGACTTTAACAACACCCACCCTGCCCTCTGTACAAATGAGGCGTGAGGACCCAGGCAGAGTAACAACTCGTTTTATTGACAGATTGAATAACAACTTTAGATTAATACCAAGTAAGAAAAATGAGCAAAGTAAAGGCAGGTAAATCAGTAAAATAATAAATCCTGATGTGTCTCTCTACAACCCAGAGGTTCCCAAACTTATTTGGCCTGCCACCACCCCCTTTTCAGAAAACAAAATCACTCAGCGCCCCTCTGGAAATCTACCTTCAAAAATTGGACAAAAAGATGCAGTGACAAATTTGCACCCAAGGCTCCTACCGCCCACCTGGATCATTCCAGCGCCCCCTCAGGGGGCGGTTCTGCCCACTTTGGGAACCAGTGGACAGTCCTAGCTAGAGTTGGAACACTTTCCCTATGAAGAAAGGTTAAAGTGCTTGGGGCTCTTTAGCTGAGGGGTGACATGATCAAGGTTTACAAGATTATGCATGGGACAGAGCAGGTAGAGAAAGAAGTATTTTTCTCCCTTTCTCACAATACAAGAACTCGTGGGCACTCAATGAAATTGCTGAGCAGTCATTCTTAGTGCTTGGGGGGGGGGGCAACAGTGGGAGGGCTTCTAGTGTCCTGGCCCCACTGATGGACCTCCTGATGGCACCTGGTATTTTTGGCCACTGTGTGACAGAGTGCTGGACTGGATGGGCCACTGGCCGGTTCCAACATTGGCTTCTCTTGTGTTCTTAGAGCCAAAAGCTGGGGAAACAACAGCTAAATGCATCACGTCACAACACGGATTGCCATAAGAGAGCTATGCATTCAGGTTTAGTTATGAGACAGTATTCCTTGTTGAAGTCATCAGCCTTCCCACCTGACACATGAGCTAAAATAGAGGATCTTCCCTTTGAGGAAAGGAGCTCTTCAGCATCCTGACAGATGAGGTCCTGGAGCACATACATAAATATAAGCTCACTGCAAAGTCTTTGGGCATCACCTCTGGTACTACAATACAGTACAAAGGCGGTGGCCAAAAGCAAAGCAAAAATGTAGATACATGGAGGTTAAGTACCAAAATATTCCATACCAGCACCCTTCCAGATCCCCTTATCCTCAGCATAGCCAGGGAAGGAGGCAGAGAATGTGGGGTAATTAACCATCCAAGTCCCCTGGAAACAACCTAGAGGTTCTGGGCTAGCCTGACTATCAGGGGATCAAGTGTTTCTGTACAGATTACTTCTGTTTTACGAGTTCGCATTAGTAATTACGAGTGACCAGGGATCATTTCCTGCAGGAGCGCACAGGAGCAGAGCTCCAGCAGTAAAGAGCCCAGGGGGCGGGCACATGCAACAAGCCCCACCCCCTGCTCCCAGCAGCCCTCAGTCAGAGCAAGAAGGAGCCAGGTAAGTTGCAGAGCTCCCTCCGGCACTCCAGTCCAAAACAGTCCAGTGGCACCTTCAAGACCAAGTTTTATTCAGGTACAAGCTCTCCCTCCTCTGCGAGGACAGATCTGCGTGTGTGTCCCCCCCCCCAATAGCTAGCAATCCAAAACAGTCCAGTGGAGCCTGAGTGGTGGGTGTTGCCTTCTGACACACTTCCAGTGATGTCAGGGAGTGTGGCATATCCAAATAAGTTATGCTAATGAACTCCTGCACCTCTACGAAATGACCCCTGCGAATGACAGCTGGGTGTTATCAATAATAAAGCATGGCTGTTTTTTTGGAATTCCACTCATTACCTCCTTGCCATCTGCCTGCTATCCTACCGCGGCGTTCTGCACCACTGATTACCCAGGAGACCTCCGCTCTGTTCTGCTTCATAAGGGAGCGATCTCAGAGGTTCCAATCCATTGGGATTCTATTCTAAATATTTTGTAATAGATAAGAAAGATGGTGGAAGGAGACCCATTCTAGCTCTTAGGGCACTTAATAAAGACCTACATGTCATGTAAGGAGCTGCGGTGGCTCAAGTGGTTAAGACGCTGAACTGCAGGCTGTGGAAGGTCAGTAGTTCAGCAGTTCGAGACCCGAGTGTGCCGCATGACGGAGTGAGCTCCCATCTCTAGTTCCAGCTCCTGCCAACCTAGCAGTTCGAAAGCAAGAAATTGCAAGTAGATAAATAGGTACCACTTCAGTGGGAAGGTAACAGCGTTCCGTGCGCCTTGGTGTTTAGTCATGCTGGCCACATGACCACGGAAACGTCTTCGGACAGCGCTGGCTCTTCGGCTTTGAAACGGAGATGAGCACCGCAACCCTAGAGTCGGATTCGACTGGCTTTCGAGCAAGGGAACCTTTACCTTTACCTTACATGTCATGTACTGAAATTCAGGTGCTTTCCTTGCAGAATGTTATCCCATTATCAGAGAGTGGTCTCTGGTTTGCCGTTACCAACCTAAAGGATGCGTGTTTTCATATTGTGATTCATGCTGCATGTAGAAATATCCTAGGTTCATGCATGAGGGCATCGCATTTGAGTATACAGTATTGCACTTCCGGTTTGCTTCCGCACCAAGAGTATTCACGAAATGCATGTCAGTGTCACCATGGTGCCCGCCAACATCTTTCCTGGTGCCCAGAGAGTTTTCAGAATGCGGTTGAGGCCAGGTGGGACTCCTGTCCAGTAGGACATCTAATTGCCCATTTTAGATCTGATGGGCGGGGCAGATTAAAAAGCATTTCAGTGACAGCTGCCACAGAATGTTGGTCTTATTCTCTCCGACACCTCTTTCCCAGTGTATTTTTAAAATTTGCCCCTCTTCTCCCTTACACTCGGGCTTGCTCTGTGCATGTGGTTGGCTCTGCCTCCAACATGGCCATTTTATGGCTGTGCCCACCATCCTGGTCAGAATTCAAAAGGGGCCCACAAGTTTTTGAAGGTTGGGAACCCTTGGTTTAATTCAAAAGTAGGCTTCTAGAGGCTAAAATTGTGCTGCTATAGTTTTGCCCTTTCAAGGCCCCGGTCACACCGGCTGGATATCGCGGGGAGAAGGCGTGGCTAATTGCCCAGCGCAGTTTGATCCGCAATTACGCACTTTCGCTTTCTTCTTTGTGCACATGCGCCGTTGGGTGCTTGTGCACATCTTGTGGAGACTTGGGGGGGGGGAAACCTGTTTGCGAAGGGACATGGGCGGGCGCCGGATGCCACCACCGGAAACGCGATCAGACGCCAGCCATTACCCCGCGGTTTCCGGAAACTAGTACCTCAGAGGTACTCGTTTTTAACTCCGCATCTTCGGCGGGAAGCCTTGGGGTCGCCACGAGAGTGCTACGCTTCCCAGATGTTGCAGTGTGACCGCGCCCGGAAAATCCGCCTATCTTCCGTCTCTGTAGCGTGGCTAATGCTCCGTGTGACCGCAGCCCAAGAGGTTCTAATTTGATCTTACAATTACTAGAGGTTACAGGTGCCAGTCTAGGGGCCTAGTGAAAATGTTTTTCTTTCATTTAGAAGACAGCATTAGAGGATGCAGAGCTAGAGGGGGTTAAAATTCCAGCTGAGCCATTTTCACTCTGAATATGCATGATTAAGTGTGCATGCATGCACGCTAAAGTGCCACATGGAGGTGATCGATAGTTTTCTTGAGTGATGCTCCTATGTGCAGTGAACACAAGCCACTGACTGGAGATTTGCTTCTTAATAAAGGGGCTATGGCTCAGTGGAAGAGCCTCTGCTTATGCATGCACGCTAAAGTGCCACATGGAGATGATCACTAAAAGATTGTTGAATTTTTGGTACATCGAAATTGAGATATCTATTGCATTACATAAGTTTAACCATTTGGAGGCTGGCAACCATTGGCAACCCCAATTTCCTACTCTACAGGTTCCGTTTAGAGGGAGCATTGGTACCAATTATTACAAATAGATTTCTGCCACCAAAAGGCATTGGGTCGTAGGCAATGCTCCCTCTAAGCTGTGGAGTATTGTGAGCAAAAATTCTACTTTGTGAGCTCCTGGCATTAAAAGTTGTGAGGGAGCGACTTGGCTTCTGCATAAATTAGTCTGCTCTGGAGCCCTCCTTCCTGAGCTAAGATAAAAACGTGTGAGCCGGAGACTAAAAAACTGTGAGCTGGTTCACACTAACTCAGCTGAAAGGGAACACTGGTAGGGTTGCCAATGCTGGGTTGGGAATTCCTGCAGATGGGTGAGGGGTAGAGCAAAGACAGGGGATGAAGGAATCTCAGCAGGGTATATTGCTATAGAGTCCACCCTCCAAAGCAGCCATTTGACCAGGGGATCAGATTCCTCTGGAGATCAGTCGTAACCCCGGGAGATCTCCAGGCCTCGCCTGGACGTTGGCAGCCAAACGTTGGAAAACCACTTCTCAAACGGAAAAAAATGCGTCTAGGATCAATATGGGTTCAGGGGAAGGCGTAAACCACACACTATCCAATCAGAGAAGAAGAAAGGCAGAAGCGAGTTTCTGATTGGCTCTTCTCGCTCTCTCTTTTGCTCCCTCGGCTTTCCTACAGCGAAAGGAGCGACCGTTAAAAAGCCCCTCTGAGTGTAGGACCTTCCGGTAAAGGGAAGAGGACAAAACAAGGGGTGAGAAGTAAACAAAACGCTGAAATCTGATAGGTTGTTCTTCTTCCCCACCCCCGTTAGGGCGGGGAAAGATAAAACTCTGCAACTGGATTGGCTACTCCTCTAATACGTTAGAGTCCGAGAGAAGAGAGGAGCAATTTAAAAAAGAAGAAAAAACCTAAATACTGCGCAAACGTCTCCCTTCTTGCTATTCGAAAGAGGGCGGGCCGCGAAGGAAGCCCTTCTATGATTGGCTCCAGGTGCAACCAGTAGGGAGAGTCTGGGCCTGAGTTCTCCGAAACGGAAAAAGCCAGAGGGAGAAAGGAGGCGGGGAAGGGGAGCTGCAGCAGGAGGGGGCGGGGCAACGTGCCGTCATTGAGCGGCGACACAAAACTAGTAGGCTGGGCTGAGGACCCCTCCCCTTGGAATGCGGGTTCGAATCCCGTCGCCCGCAATTTTCGCGCTGAGGTAATAATTGGGGGGGGGGGGGCGCGGTTAAGGTCTGAAAATGCGAGGTGGGTGGGAGTTTTGATCAGGGTTTTTAAAGTATAAGATTAGCCCCAAAGGTAATGGAGGGGAGGAGTGTGAGCAGCTCCCCCCTCCTCTCCCCAGGGCTCTTTCTGTCGATTTGGGATCTTTTCCCCTGAATTAGGAGAGGCGGGGGAGTAAAGGTTGGGTTATTTTCCCCCCTCCCCGTTATATCTGGGGCTCTCCCCCAGGAAGCTTTTGGCACCCCCTTACCACAGGGAGTTGCCAACCTCCATGTGGGGCGTGGAGATCTTCTGGTATTACAGCTGATCTCCCGACTACACAGATTATAGGGTTGCCAGTCCTGGGTTGGAAAACACCTGGAGACTTTGGGGGTGGAGCCGGGAGAGGGAGGGGTTTGGGGAGGGGCCTCAGCAGGGTACTATGCCAAAGAGTCGACCCTTAAAAGCAGCCACTTTATCCAGGGGAGCTGATCTCTGTCAGCTGGAGATCAGTTGTAAAAGCGGGAGATCTCCAGGCCCCACCTGGAGGCTGGCAACACTACACAGATAAATCCCCCTGGGGGGAATGGCACCTTTGGGAGGAGGACTCTAGGGGATTGTAGCCGGCTGTGGCCTCTCCCCTCCGTAAATCCCACAGGAACATCGTGGTCCCCCAAATCTCCAGGTTTTTCCTAACCCAGAGTTGGCATGCCTGGGGGGGGGGCTGTGGCTTCTGCCCCTGCATGGAGCAACTGTGTGCAGTGGGGTTCCATTTCTTTCCCCTTTTAAAAAATTTGGGGTGGACCTTTGGCAGCTTGCTGCCTGCTGGGTGGGGGGAAATGTCTTCTTTTTTTGAGGGGGGGGGAACGAGGAACTTCCTGGAAAGGTCCTATTTCCACTTTGTTCCCCTCCCCCAGCTGGTCTCCTCTTGTCTGAGAACAGGGACGTAAGACAACATTTCTTTTCCAGCAAATAAGGGGAGGGGAATTTCAGCCCCACTAGGCTTTCAAGACAACATTTCTTTTCCAGTGGGTAAGGGGAGGGGAATTTCAGCCCCACTAGGCTTTCTCCATAAAGGTGAGGGGGGGGAATCAAGAAGACGGATCCCCTGTGAGGGGAAAAATAATGTAGGGAATGCAGCCCCCACCATATTTGAAACATTGGGCAGAGGGGAGAGATCCAACCCCTTCCGTGTCACCTCCCCCAAGTTGGGAAATCGAACCCTCTCACTTATAATGCTGACTAAACAAAACCTTCTTCAGAGGGAAGCTGCCTGTGAATACTGGTGGCTGGGGCGGGGGGAGTGAACACAAAAATACACAAAAATAAATTTTGGGGCTTCCAGGGGCAAGTGGTTGGCTGCTATAGAGGAAGGAGGCACTGGACTAGACCATAGGTCTGATCCACCAGGGTTGCTCTAATATCCTTTGATGGAGCGGACCAAGCAGACGCTCCGGAGGCTTGAAGCTGGTCCTACTGTAGGGCATGTGTTTGTGTGTGATCCAGCAAGCCAGTGTGTGTTTGATTTGGATCAGGAAGTGCTGAACTCAAACACAGATCAGAATATAGCATGTGGACTGGCCTTGGACCAGTTGCCTTCCCCTCCTAACCTACTTCACAGGCTGTTGTGAGGATAAAATGGGGGTAACCCCCATACGCACCACCCTGGTCCCCCTTGAGGGATGGGAACAGGAACGATAATGCAAAACGTTTTCCTGTTTGTCTTTCAGAATGCCTGAAGCTTGGAGGCACTTCCTTTAACTTCAACTTGGTATACCCTCACCCAAAGCAGCTATGAATGCTGCAGAATACATCTTGTTGGAGAGGAAGAAGCGCTTGTGGCCAGCGAAGGTGATTAATTTGACAGCCGGTCACACCCTCAGGGGCAGCAGATTGCAGGTGTTTTGGTTTTTTTATAGAGGGGGAAGAGGTATTGGTGTGGGGGTATTTTTGGCAGAGATTTATAGCAAGGTTCAAAGCCCTCTACTCAATTGGAGATGAAATTGCAAAGCAGCGATGTGTTTAGAAAACAAATTACCAAACAACAGGAGGCAATCCTGGCTTGCTGGGTCGTTGTTTGTCTTGTTTGACCTGGTAATTTTCTTATTGGCTTTGATTATTTTGTTGTTGTGAACTTTCCTGAGGACTCCTTGTTTTTCTGGATTCTTTTAAAACCCCAGGAGAAGATAGATTTTGAGTGAATGGAAAAATCAAATGCGCTTGAGTCAATAATACTGTACGATAGCTGCTACAAACAAATTATGTGTCTTGTTCTTCCTTCCTGTCCTCCCGTACTTTTGCATCTGCATCTCTAGGGTGCATCTCGGATGCATGTGCCTGTTTTAACTGGGTATTACAAGGGCTGTGCTGTGGTTGTACCGAGCAGCAGAAAAAACACAATGAGGCAGAACTCATTTTCTTTTTTTCTTTTTTTAAAAAAGCGGGTTTCTGGCCCTCATGGCTGCAAAGATATTCTTGAATTTGTGTGGACAGTGCTGGGGGGGGATCTCAGATAATATTGGTAGCAGCAGTGAGGGGATGCGAATTGGAGGCTTAGCAAAACCATAATAAATATTGAGAAATAAGTGAAACAATGCAAATTTGTTCCATCTATGTTGTTTATGCTGTTTTTAGAATTTGGATTGGTAAGGTATTTAATTTTAAGCTCAGAGATGGACACATGAAGTTGCCTTACAGTGAATGAGACCCTTGGTCCATCAGTATTGTCTACTCAGGCTGGTAGTGGCTCTCACGGTTCTCAGGCAGAGGTCTTTCTCATCATCTACTGCCTGGTTCTTTTAACTGGAGATGCTGGGGATTGAACATGGGACCTTCTGCATGCCAAGCAGCTGCTGTGTCAGTGAGCCACAGTAGTTTCTCAGCACATCGGTCGGGGTCTCCAACGGGTAGCCTGAGAACTACCAATAACTTTCTGGCCATTGCAGGGTAGTTTGTGTATCCCCTGGAAGACCCAGTAAAAGATCTGCTCTAGGCTTTTTTCTTAAAGAAAAGCTTGTATTTCATAGAAAGTTTCTCTGTGCTGTTCTTTGTTAGAGCGCCAGAAATGAAGGTTCTTGTTTCTAGACCAGAATAACACTTGGGAATATGCCCTGGCTGGGTGTGTGTGTGTAGAAGTAGTATGGGATATTTTTTCAGTACTCAGAAGTAGCTTTTGTTAAACAAAATGGTTGGCAAGCAGTGTTCCTTCTAAGCTGAGTTTGTGTGAGCTAGCTCACAGTTTTTTAGCCTCCAACTCACACATTTTTGCTTCGCTCGGGAAGGATGGCTCCAGAGCAAACTAAGTTATGCAGTAGCCAGATCGCTCACTCACAGCTTTAATGCCAGGAGCTCACAAAGACTCCACAGCTTAGAGGGAGTATTGCCAGTGTTCCCTCTAAGCTGAATTAGTGTGAGCTAGCTCACAATTTTTTAGCCTCCAGCTCTCACGTTGTTGTCTTAGCTCAGGAAGGATGGCTCCAGAGCAACCTAATTGATGCAGTAACCAAATTGCTCGCTCACAACTTTAGTGCCAGTAGCTCACAAAGTAGAACTTTTACTCACAAGACTCCACAGCTTAGAGAGAGCACTGTTGGCGACCCCTAAAGTAGATCAGTTAGATCACAAGTTTTCCTGAGACTTGAGAGCCAGTGTAGTGTAGGTGCCGAAGTGTTGGACTAGGATCTAGAAAAACAAGGTTCGAATCCCCACTCTGTCCTGGAAGCTCGCTGGGTGACCTTGGGCTGCTCACCCCCTCTCAGTCTAACCTGCTTGACGAGTTGGTGTGACGATAAAATGGAGAAAGGTGGGATGTTAGAGGCCACTCAGAATCCCCATGGGGAGAAACATGGGATGTAAATGAAGTGACTGTACTCTTGTTCCCTAGACGGTACATCTAGTTCTGTAACAAACAAGGGTTCTCTGATTTATTTTATTTATTCAGGAATTCAGTATTCAGTTTTTATACAGCCCATTCCCTAACTAGGGCTCAGGGTGGTGTACAACAAACACAAAAACAACAAACATTAAAGCAACAATTTTAAAATAGTAAACATTACAATAAAATTCATAGTAACAACCAGGGGTCATTTCGTAGAAAAAGAGGGGCAGGAGCTCATTAGCATAACTTATTAGCATAACTTATTTGCATGCCACACCCCCTGACATCACCGGAAGTGTGTCAGAAGGCAACACCCACCGCTCAGGCTCCACTGGACTTTTTTGGATTGCTAACTATTGGGGGAGGGCGGGAATGTGCAGATCTGTCCTCGGAGAGGAGGGAGAGCTTATACCTGAATAAAACTGGTCTTAAAGGTGCCACTGGACTGTTTTGGACTGGGGGGCCAGAGAGGGGGCTCTTCAACTTACCTGGCTGCTTCTTGCTCTGACTGAGGGCTGCTGGGAGCAGGGGGTGGGGCTTGTTGCATGTGCCCGCCCCCTAGACTCTTTACTGCCGGAGCTCCACTCCTGTGCGCTCCTACAGGAAATGACCCCTGGTAACAATGCAGTTTAAACAGGTGTGCTGCCACCTTGCGGGGGCGGAGGGGGTGAGAGTGCCAGCCAGATGCACGCTGTCCACAACCAAACACCTGGCGGAATATCTCTCCCTTACAGGCCCTGTGGAACTGTAACAAGTCCCGCAGGGCACGGATGTTACTCGGCAGATAGTTCCACCACTAAAAGCCCTGGCCCTGGTCGGGGACGGCTGGATATCTCTTGGGCCAGGGACCACAAGCAAGTTCTTATCAGCTTATTTATATATTTATTTATTCGACTTTTTTTATCCTGCCCTCCCTGTCAAGGCAGGCTCAGGGCGGCTTACAATAAAAGGTTAAAAATGTATTAAAACACATGTGCTTATACACTACAGCATCATAGAATGCAAAGCCTACCAAATCACAGTACAAAATAGAATAAAGTGCTGCTGGTGGTAGCGTCCCAGTGACCATATAATAAGATGGTCCAAAGTATGGCCCCCGTCAGTATCCAGCATGGCCGGCTATTGGTGTTAGCATAAAGGGCCTTAACAGTTCCGTTAATATCGTTAGCATTGTTGAGCTGAGCGTAATGCTCTTCGAGGGGTACACAGGGAGAGGCGGTCCTGAGGACAACGTGGGTCCCAGACCGTTAAGGGCCTTAAAGGTAAGCGCCAAAACCTTGAACCTGATCTGGTGGTCAACCAGTAACCAATGCAGCTCGCACAGCAGAGGTGGAATATATGCTGATCGTGGGGTCCCCTGAGGATTAATCCGCACAACAGTCACCTCCAGATTGGACTACTGTGACTTGCTCTATGTGGGTCTACCCTTGAGACTGACCCAGAAACTTCAGCTGGTCTAGAATGCAGTGGTGTGGGCAGGTGCAGGAGGGACAGGTGCGGGGGGGCAGTGGCCTAACCCAGCGTAACTGGAAGAACGCCAGTCTGGCGACATTTGTGATCTGGGCCTCCATTGCCAAGGAGGCATCCAGAATCGCACCCGAGCTTTGGGCCGTTAATGCTGGTGTTAAAGGCACACTGCCGAGAGCCGGGAGTTGGCCCCCCACCCCTGAATCCTCCCTGCCCAGCCACAGAATCATCGGTGGATTCAGTCTCAGCCGGCTCTGCCCCTCTTCCTTCTCTGGCTATTAAAGTATGTGGGGAGGGCTCAGGGGCTCAGCCTATAGCAGGGGTGGCCGAGATGTGGCTCGGGAGCCACATGCGGCTCTTTCACACATATTGGGTGCGTTCAGACGGGGCATTTGCAACGGAATAGGTGCCAGTTGGAATCGGTGTACTTACTGGCGTTCACATGGCGAACATCTGCCTTCCGTCCCTAACTGTTGCAAAGAGCTTTATACCGTTGTATTCTGCCACTAGGTCCCTAAGTGGTGGTATCCTGAGTACAACGGTTGTAATCGCTTTACCCCCATCTGATCGCTCTCCACCGTTGCACCGTGTGGCTCCTGGCAGGGCAGCTGGGGAAGCGAAGGGAAGGCATACCTCCCCGATCGGTCTTCCCTTCCCCAGCTAGTGCTCACCTTCCCGGGTAGGCCTAAGGCAGGGGGGAGCCGAGAAAGAAAAGAACTTTAGCTTGAAATGCATTCTCAAACTGCCCCACCCCGTCTACAAATATTATTGGACAAATAAATATCATTATCAATATCTATCTTTATCCCTTTTGTTTTTATTTCTGGCCGTCTCATTGAATGTTAACAAAAAGCAAATTTGCATATTTTTCAATTAAAACATGTCTGTAATATTTATTCACATCATTTGGCTCTCAAACATCTGATGATTATTCTATTTGGCTCTTACGTTAAGTAAGTTTGGCCACCCCTGGCCGATCGTTTGTGTGGGAAAAGTCCCCCTGTCCAGTTATTCAGAGAACCGTTACCTGTGAAAATAGACCAGGGGTGGCCAGACTTGGTCAACGTAAGAGCCACATGAACGATTGTAACCCACACATTTTTATTGAAAAATATGCACATTTGCTTTTTATTAACATTAAATGAGACTGCCAAAAAATAAAAACAAAAGGGGTTAAAACAGATATTGATAGTGACATTTAAGTTTAGATGGGGAGGGAGGGGAGAAAGAGAGAGAGAGAGAAAGTGGAAAGAAAGCAAATAGATGGGGGGAAGGAGGGAGAGGTGGAAAGAAAGCAACTTTAAATGCATCTTCCAAGACCCCCATGCCCACCCTCCGGCTGGTGTGGCGAAGGAGGAGAAGAAGAAGAGGAGGAGATTGGATTTATACCCCGCCCTTCACTTGGAGTCTCAGAGTGGTTTACAAACGGAATCAAACCCGGTTCTCCCAGATTAGAGTCCGCGCACTTAACCACTACACCAAATTGGGATTAAAAGAAGCAAATGCCTTCTCCAAGCCGGGCAGTGGTGGTGGGGAGGTCTTTAAAAACGCATTTAAAGTTGCTTTCTTTCTCTGTTCCGCCATCTCAAGCCTACCCAGGGAGGGGAACACTGGCTGGGGAACGGAAGACCGATCGGGGAGGCATGCCTCTGCTAGGAGCCACAGTTTGGCCACCCCTGAAATAGACCCTACTGAAAGCGATGAAGCAGTGTTCAGAATTGTGTTCCGATCAGTCCTTCCCCACGTTGTCATGTTTTATCTATCCATCTACCATGACACCATGTTCTCTTGCACACGTGCTTTTTTTAAAAAGCTCAACATTTCCCCCTTCCTCTTTTCAGGTTTTGTCTAGGGTCTGTACTTCCCAACCACAGCAGGCTCATAAAGGTGCGGCGACCTACTACTTGGTTGAAATCCTCGGTCTGAAAGAACAGTTAAGTACAGCTGCTGGACACCTGTCTCTTTCTGCCTTTTTATCCTGTCTCCTCCAAAGGCGCACGGGGTAGTGGGTGTGGTTCTCCTCTCTCTGCTTTATCCTTACGATGGCCATGTAAGTTGGTTAGGCTGAGTGCGAGTGATGGCGCAAGGCTGCCCCGTGGCTTTCATAGCGAGTGGGGGGAGTTGAACTCAGGTCCCCTGGGTCTTTGTCTGACACTTTAACAACTGTGCCACGTTGATGTCATGCTAAGGCATGCCCCGCAATGGACCCTTTTGACAGACTTGTTAAGACAAAATAAATTTATTTACAGTTACGAGAGCCAGTTTGATGTAGTGGTTAGGAGCGCAGACTGTAATCTGGGAGAACCGGGTTTGATTCCCCGCTCCTCCACATGCAGCTGCTGGTGTGACCTTGGGTCAGTCACAAGTTCTCTCAGAGCTGTTCTCTCAAGGGCAGTTCTCGAGAGAGCGCTCTCTCAGCCCCACCTACCTCACAGGGTCTCTGTTGTGGGGAGGGGAAGGGAAAGGAGATTGTAAGCCGCTCTGACACGCCTTCAGGTAGTGAAGGGCAGGGTATAAATCCAATTTCTTCTTCTTTATTTACTTACAAAATTTATATCCCCGCCTTTCTGCCTTTACAAGGGCTGCCAAGGCAGCAGCAGTTTAAAACACACATGATAAAATCACATCATAAAACCATTAGGATTAACCCCGCTCTCAAATGTACCTCATTAAAGCAATGTTAAAAAGAGTTAAAATACAGATAACACAGTTGAAATACACATCAAACATAAAAGATTGGTTCGGAAGGGGCAATCTGTGAGGGAGTCCCAAACAAAACAAAAATTTAAATGAAGCCCCCCAGCCCCTGCCTATTTTTATGCTCCATACATTAGTCCCTTTGTAAGTTTGTGGGCTTGTTTATCGTGGGCTGTTATGTCATTTGTGTGGCAAACCTTTTTTCAGCGAGATGAGCTGCAGGCGTCTGCTTCTGAGCATATCGCTAAATGTTCGCCGGAGTGGTTTATGCAGCAAACAGTGCAAAAAAAATAATAATAGGATTTTAAGAATGTGCATGTTTCAATTGTGTAGTTGTATGCAGGTATGAATTGTCATGGGCCCTGAGCCACAAAAGGAAAAGTGAGACATAAATATTTTAATTCAAATCCTAGCTAACTCCCGAGCTCTGTTTCTCCATCTTTTTGTTTTCAGAGCCAATGTGTGCTGTAAAGATGTTGAGCTCTTGACAGAGGAGAGCATCGAATGCATCGCTGCCAAGTTAGGTATGGATTGCTTTAAAGTTGTCGCCTTGCACTGGGAGCATTCCGCCTGTTCCGCTGACAGGGACTTCGTGCCCACAGAAGCCCATAAGGGGCTCTTCCTCTGTGTACCGTTTGCTCATTGTAATGATGAACACTCTGTTGGTGGACAAGTATTCTCCGTATGTGTTCCTGGCCTGGGAGTTCAGGGAGGCAGACTTGGGGATTCTGATCCATCACATTTGTACATCTGGGTATGTTTCTAGGTCAGAGCACAAAAGGCCACGATAACGTGGAAGAGATAATTTATCGGCGAGCTCTTCGGGAAGCTCTGGATGTTTTGCGAGAAGCCACGCCCTCCAAAGAAGGAAGCCCTTCAAAGGCTACAAGAAGTAAAGCATCCACTTGGAAGGAAACCAAAGAACGTGCGGATGGCCGCTGGCCACCTTCCTCTCGAAATGACACGCCGAAGCGGGAAGGAGAGACTGGCGAGGCATCCGCGGCACCATCCTCCGTGGGTACCCGAAATAAATGCAGTCGTCATTCCAGGGGGGAAGCCAAGGGACCTTCCGGTGCCAAATCACACGGGTCAAAATCAAGAGTCCTTTTGAGAAACGGGGAGTTGAACGGCCGGCCCCAGCGTGCATCCAAGGCAAAATCGCCAGAGACGCCTGAGAAAGACGCCACGCTGAAACCGCCGCCCAGCCCCAGCCCGAGCAGAAGATCGCCACGCTTCTCCAGTGGGCGAGAGAGGCGCCCTCCAGACGGGGCCGGCAGGGAAAGGCGTTCCCCCTCGTCTCCTTCGAAATGCTTTGCTAGAACCAGCACACCAGCCCGCTCCTCGCACAACTGTGCCAAGTCAACTCCAGGCAGAAAACCGGGTGGTAAACGGGGCCTTAGAGGGATCCGGCTGGGGTCGCCTGTGAAATGTCCTTCGGCTGAAGCAGAGAAGGGTCTCTCTGAGAAAGAAGAGTTTCCACCGAGGAAGTACAGCAAAGACTTGGCTGGCGAGAGGCATCCCCATGACTCAAGAGGTACCGGTCAGACACAGATCCCCGCGGTGTCCTCTCTTTCCCGGGAGAGAAGACGTGCGAGTCGTCACGAGGGCTCATCCGGCAGCCCGGATCCTGTTGGACCCGTTTTGGATGGCATCCGAGAGGAAAGCCTGCATCCGTGGACAGATGAAGCAAAAAACTTCCAGCTGTGTGATCTGGAAGGAAAAGGTAAGCCTGTACTGGTTTTTATGTGGTGAACCAGCGTCCGGCATTCCGTTGACAAATACCTCTTCAAAGGGGCTAGCAAAACTCTTTTATGAATGACTGTCAATTATTAAATGGCCCATTCAGCAGCTCGATGCCTCGCAGAGGAGAGGCAGAGGGGGGAGGAACGGGGGCCGGGCAGACAGATCTTGCTTGGCCCTGGGCGGCAGCCGCTCCTCCCTTGGCTGGAGGTTGGCAGCTGTGTGCATCTTTGGGTGAAATGGGCAACCCTCCTATGGCGTCTCCTTGATTTCAAGGATTGGCTCTCGGCAGGCCAGTGCTGCTTAGCGGAAATATTCTAAATGGTGAGCCACATTTCACAGTGCTTTCATAAGAAACCCTGGTACTGAAATCTAATGAAATCAAGACAACGAAACTCCCTCGTTCCCAGAGCCTGACAGAGGCGGTCCCTAGGTGGAACAGCCTACCGTTCCCAGAGCCTGACAGAGGCGGTCCCGAGGTGGAACAGGCTACCTCGAGAGATGGTGGGGGTTCTTTGGGGGTTTTCAAGCAGAGGCTCGGTGGCCATCTGACAGCAGTGCTGGTTCTTAGGGAGGGCAGGAAGGGTTGCCTCAGTGCTTAGTTCTCGTGGCCCTATCTGAGAGCCAGTTTGGTGTAGTGGTTAGGAGTGCAGATTCTGATCTTGGGAGAACTGGTTTTGATCCCCCACTCCTCCACATGCAGCTGCTGGTGTGACCTTGGGTCAGTCACAAGTTCTCTCAGAGCTGTTCTCTCAGGGGCAGTCCTCGAAAGAGCTCTCTCAGCCCCGCCTGCCACAGGGTGTCTGTCGTGGGGAGGGGGAAGGGAAAGGAGTTTGTAAGCTGCTCTGAGACTCCTTTGGGTAGTGAAGGGCAGGGAGTATAAATCCAATCTCCTCCTCCTCCTCCTCCTCCTTCCATGCTGATCGCCACTTTGGGGTCAGGATGCAAATTTTCTCCAGGCCAGTTTGCCCGGGGATTCTGGAGGCTTTTTTTTTAATGCAATCTTCTGGGCATGGAGCAGGGGTCACTGAGGGTGTGGGGGTTGAGGTATTTGTGAATTCCCTGCATTGTGCAGGGGGTTGGACTAGATGACCCTGGAGAGGTCCCTTCCAACTCTGATTCTATGTGGTGTAGTGGAGACCCAGGTTCGAATCCCCACTTGTGCCACGGAAGCTCGCTGGGTGACCTGGGGCCAGTCACACGCTCTCAGCCTCACCTACCTCCCATGGCAGTTGTGAGGGTAAAACGGAGGAGGGGGAGAATAACGTGTAAGCCACTTTGGGTCCCTGTTCAGGTGAAAAGCAGGGTATAAATGCAATACACTGAATAATAAAATAAAAATTCGCAGAGCTTCTAACTATTGGGCTAAAGAAAAAATCAACATATTGTATATTCAGGAGACACACTTAAAAAACGGTGAAAGTAAAGTGCTTAAGCACAAGTGGTTTGAGCAGCAGTATCAAGCCGCAGGGTCCTCGAAGGCAAGGGGGACTGCGGTTTTGATTTCCAAAAATGTTCCATTTATTTTTGAGGCGTCTAAATCTGACCCTAAAGGAAGATATATTTTTATTAAAGGCAAATTATTTGATGAACCAATTACCCTAGCATCTTTATACGCCCCTAACGTAGATCAACTCCAATTTATACAGAACGCATTACAAGAACTTATGGATTTTAAATCGGGTGAGGTGCTCATTGGAGGAGACCTGAATTATGTAGTACATCCCAAAGTAGATAAAACTTTTAAAAAACATTCTGTTAAAAGTTCAAAAAAAGGAACAAACACATCGAAATTGGATCAACTCTTTAATTTTTTTAATGTGACAGATGTTTGGAGATCACACAACCCTCAACAAAAACAATACACCTTTTATTCGCCAAGGCATGATATTTATTCTCGTATAGATTTTTTGTTAGCGACGAAACCCCTGATGTCTCAAATAATGTCGTCAGACATAGATAACTGTAACCTATCGGATCATGCTTGGGTGGGATGCAAATTAGCGAAACAACAGTCAGATGGCAAAGGCCCAATTTGGACCATGAATAAATTACTTTTACAAAATGATAATATATGCCAGAACTTAGAACAGAAAATAAAAGAATATTTTGAACTCAATGAAAATTGTGAAGCGAACCAAGCAAATATTTGGGACGCATTTAAGGCCGTCTTCAGAGGGCACGTCATATCTTTAGCGTCTAACTTTAATAAAGAAAAAAACAAAGTGATTAATGACATTCTCCAAAACATAAAGCAACTAGAACTTAAACATATGACACATGGGGGGAAAAAAACAATGAAAAAACTGGTTCAAGAACGTAAAAAATTGGAACTATTGGAAACAGAAAAAATTCAAAAACAGTTATTGATTTTGAAACAAAAATATATAACAAAAACGCCAAAATCTATAAAATATCTAAAATACAGAGTTACTCAAAAATTAACTTCCTCACTAGTTCATTCTATCAAATCCATGAGGGGAGAAATTAAAATGGCAGCGAAAGATATAACTGAGGAATTTAGCGATTTTTATAGGATGCTGTATACTTCCACCAAACCAACTTCGGCAGAAATAAATGACTATCTCGAAAGGATCCAGTTTAACATTAGACTTAAAGAAGAACACAAAGAATTTTTAGACCAACCAGCATCAATGAAGGAAGTGTCACAAGCCATAGCCAAACTCAAAAACAATAAAACTGCAGGAAGAGATGGTATACCAGTCGAGGTATATAAAAAATTTAAACCCATTATAGAAACGCATCTACAAAAAACTATAAACTCAGTATTAGAAACAGGTGTAATGCCGAAAACATGGGAGGAGGCCAGAATTATAGTACTCCCTAAACAAGGAAAAGATAAAACTTCACCGGCCTCATACAGGCCGATTTCAATTTTGAATCATGATTTTAAAGTTTATTCCACAATTTTAGCCCTAAGACTCCAAAAAATAATCACAGAGTATATCCACAAGGATCAGGCTGGTTTTATTCCGGGAAGAAATATCAAAGATAACATAAGAAAAACCTTAAATATCATAAATTTTTGTAAAAATAAATTGTTTAATTCATGTATTCTCTCCATAGATGCCCAGAAGGCTTTTGACATGGTAGAGCCGGAATATTTACTTACTTTATTAGATAAAATGGATTTTGGTCCAAATTTTTTAAACGGCATCAAGGCTATGTACAGAGACCCTAGAGCTCAAATATCAGTAAACCAATTTAGATCCGATGAAATTCATCTGAAAAGGGGAACACGACAGGGCTGTCCTATGTCGCCCATTTTATTTGCCATATCTCTCGAACCTTTAGCCTTTGCTATTAGGAATGATTTTTTGATTAAAGGGATGAAAATAGGAAGTGAAGAGTGCAAGATGAGTTTGTTTGCGGACGACGCAATTTTTTATTTAAAAGACCCAGTTCAGTCCCTCAAACCCTTATTACAGCAAATACAAAATTTTGGTAAGATAGCTGGTTTTACAGTTAACATGCAAAAATCAGAACTCTATCCTATGAAAATTTCTGAGGACGACCGGAAAACAATTTCTGAACTATACCCCTTTAAATGGGTACAGACTACATGGAAACATCTAGGAATTATAATTCCAGTAGAAATAGCTAAAATATACGAAGCAAACTATAATTCATTAAGCAAGGATTTTAGACAAACTTTAGCAAATTGGACTAAATTAAATTTTACATTGCTAGAAAAAATTGATTTATTCAAATCAATATTACTTCCGAAATTCACCTTTTTATTTCAAAACCTTCCCATTCAGGTATTAACTAAGGATTTTAAAGAGTGGAAACGAGAACTGCACAAATTTTTATGGAACCAAAAAAGGGCAAGGATTAATTTTCAAACACTAACAAAACCCACGAAAGAAGGTGGTTTGGGAGTCCCAATACTAGAAAACTATTTCTACGCAGCACAACTAAAAAACGTAGCTCATTATGCCAATCCTGAATGCTCTAAAACATGGGTGGCCATAGAGATGGACTCAATGTATCCGGATAATTGGTATGAAGCTGTATGGAATACAAAAAAGGTTAAAAGAATAACAGGCGATAAAAACCCATACTTACACCTTACTTTAAACATTTGGAATAAGTTCAGGGAAGCCCTTGCTCCTGGGGTTTCCCCGGTGACACCCTTCCTAGGACAAGAGTGGTTCCAGCCAGGAAATCATACTAAATCATTTTTACCTCTGAGAGAGAAAAAAAAAATAGGTTAAGAGACTTATTAGACAATGGAAAACTAATTTCATTACAAAAAATGGCACAAAAACATAAGATTCAATTGACTTGGTTTCAGTATTACCAAATACAAAATATGTTCATGGAAATATCGAAAACGTCTAAGTTAGATAGACCTTTAAACAGCTTCGAGAAATTTCTCTATTTGGGTAAACAATCATTGAAAGGCCTTACTTCAATAATATATAGAAGCATTTCTGAAGTCAACTGGGACAAAAAAACCTCGATACAAAAAGCGTGGGATAGAGATTGTGCAATAACAATACCCAAGCAAGATTGGATGTCTTTATGGAAATCATACCCATTTATTTAAAATAACTTGGAGATTAGGCTACAGTCTTTTAAAATATATGCGAGATGGTACTTAACCCCGAACAAATTATTTTTGAGTAAATTTAAAAATAACCCATCTTGCTGGAAAGGCTGTGGAGACATTGGAACTTACCTACACAGCTGGTGGGGATGCCCACACATCAAAGTATATTGGGAAAAAATAATTGGAGAAATTGCTAAACTTACCGGTTGTAATATACCAAACCCTCCGCAATCCATTTTGCTGAATATGTGGCCTGATCTCTCATTTTCTAAACAAAAAAGGGAAATATTAACGTTACTACTTTACTGCAAAAACCTGTTTAGCTCAACGATGGAATACACAAAATATTCCTTCCATTGAATCTTGGATAGCAAAGGTTTGGGATGTACTCATAGCGGATAAAATAGCAACGCAAATATGAAGGGAGTACATACCAAACAAACAAAATGACTTTGTAGAAAAATGGTTTACTGTGTTAAAGTATATAAATGAGGCGTTGTATTATACTGTTGTTTTTTGTATATTTCAAAATTGATAAATAAAATTTATATAATAAATAAATAAATAAATGCAATACACAAATAAAAGATAAACGAGGACCTTAGAATCAAGACTCGTGTCCTTGAGTGTGCCGGTGAAGTGCGTGCGCCTGCTTTGCATGGACGGCAACCCAGTTTAAACAAGATGCGCCATGAGTGCAGCATCCCAGGGGTCAGCCCTCCTGCCTTACCAGCACTGTGTTCAAATCAGGCATGGGACCAGTGTTCCAGCTAAGCTGAGTTAGTGTGAGCTAGCTCACCGTTTTTTAGCCTCCGGCTCACACATTTTTGTCTTAGCTCAGGAAGGATGGCTCCAGAGCAAACTAATTTACGCAGCAGCCAAATCGCTCACTCACAAGACCCCCCCAGTTTAGAGGGGGTATTGCCTGGGACACCGTGGTGGATCCGTCTGGCCTCCAAGGAGCCTTCCTCCAACTTAGGTGGCTCTTTCTCCAATGGAAGAGCCACTCGGGTGGGAGGAAGGTCCCTTCGGCTGGAGGAAGGCTTCAGAATTTGCTCAGTCGAGTGGCCAGATGTGCCCCTCCTGTCTGATGACCTTGACCCTCGTTCCCAGGAAATCTTGTTGCTCTCCCAGGCGCCGCAGGGCTCAAATCCGGCTCTTCTTCTGCGGACCAGCACAATTAACCCGCTTGGAATGATCTCTCCAGCGGGACTGTTGCCACTTGGGATTTCTCTGCCCAAAAAGTACCCTCGAATATAGCTTGAGGTTTTGTACTGGAAACTGATATTGCCGAGCGTCAAGGGTACGGATTCATTCAGTTGCACTACTTACTCGGGATTTAAGTAATTCCCCCTCACACACACACAGCCACGTCAAAGCATAGAGTAAATTAGGTCAGGAAGGTAAAATACAAGAAAAGAATGCCTGTTGTCACGAAGATTTACGTACTCTGGCTGGGTACATAAATCTTAGTGACAGTGGACACTCTTTTTCTTGTATTTTATCTTCCAGTGCTCTTTTTAGTTTCTCCTGAAGTCCCAGTCTACATTGAATTTTTCCTGTTTCAAGCAAGAAGACTAGAGATCGGTGCTCAGTATAAAGGGAGAGGGTGTCTTGGGTTAATCTGCTGGTTTCCTCTAACCACTCCTTGTGAGCGTATCTGTTACTCAGGTTACTTGGCCCCCACATCCAATTTCAAGGTGGATTTTTGTAGGATAAATAGGTATAAAGAAATGACAGATGTCATTTACCTGCACTTTGTAAGGTATATAGGGCACTGATCAGTTGGCCTTTGGAAAAGGAAGGATCCATTGTTGTTTCTGTGATCTAATATCCTTCATACAAAGCTATTGTTCCAAAGCCATAGCTATCTTTATGTACATTGTAAACACATCAGTTTTTAGTGACCCTTATTGCCATATCTGGCCCATAATGATCACCTTGGTTCTGCTGGGGCCCTGTTCAAGGAGAAACATAGTTCGTGTCCGTCCGTCCCTTCCCCCGGCTACCTGCATATCTTCGAGACCACCTCTCCCCGTATGAGCCCCAGAGGGCATTGCGCTTTTCGAATCGACATCTGCTGACGGTCCCTGGCTCTAGAGATATCCGACTTGCCTCCACAAGGTCCAGGGCTTTTTCGGCCCTGGCCCCTGCCTGGTGGGATGAGCTCCCGTCAGAAATCAGGGTCCCGCGAGAGCTTTTGCAGTTCCGCAGGGCCTGCAAGACGGAGCTCTTCCGCCAGGCCTTTAGCTGAGGCAGCGGGTATCCAGGGCAATCTGGCCTCTCCCCCCCCTCCTCCCTCCGACGAGTCGCTCTTATGTGTCCGTTGAGTTGTAATTTATTTTTAAAGTATTTTAAAGTATTCATTGATTATAAAGTCTTTTGTCGTATTTATTGTACGTATTTTGTTATTCTGTCTCTGTGATGTAAATCTCCAGTCGGCAGATTATTATAGGCTGGAATAAGGTTGCCAAGTGCTCGTAGCAGCCGCAGCAGGGGACTCCCCGCACACGTCATCTGGAAGTGACCTGACGACACTGGGCACACTGGGGTCGGGGGCACGACCATCTGAGGGAAAACCATAGAGTTTTCCGTGCCCGGCGTTGTCACGTCACTTCCGGGTGACGTGCACAACGGGGTGGGGTTCCCCCTGGGCCCCGATCCGAGAGAGAGAGAAACAAAGAAAGCAAATAGATGGGAGGGAGGAAGGAAAAGCACGCCTCCCCTTCGCTTCCCCAGCTGCCATGCCAGGAGCCGCACAATATGTGTGAAAGAGCCACATGTGGCTCCCGAGCTGCAGTTTGGCCACCCCTGATCTATAGTGTGGTAATATTCTATCCCTCACTTACTGCCACAGACTAAAGACCTTTCCAACTCCAGTCAAACACATCCAGTTGGAAGCTCTGTCACTAGAACTTCAAAAGGAGCTCTTCGTAGCCCTTCGTCCCCGTAGCTTTGCCTTTAAACCATGCCCTGGGGTGACACCTAACCATTTCTGATAAGGGAGTCCAAAGCACCTGTATCCAAGGCTCCTTAAAACTAAGCGATCCTTTGCCATTCGTAACCCGTACTGCAGCTATTATATACTTCCTTGGACTCACTGTTAATGGTGGACACCTTTATCACTGCAGTTTTTAAATTCCAGTTTAGCAGTGGATGTAACTTCCATATGGGGCAGTGATTTTTAAAACGACCTGCTGGGCCATAGTTATGCATTCCCTTTCACAAGAGGATATGTGTCGCTATATATCCCTGGTGCTCTTTTTACCAGGAACATCTTTGGATCCAGCTTCCATCCCGGAGAGAAAAGGTGTCCTCTCTGCATCATGAATATTTATCTTTCTAAACCTGAGCCGTTTCTATCGATGCTAAGACTTCTGTGGTCTCACCGAATACTTTGACATTCTGCAGTTTAAACTGGAGAATACCCAGTGCAAAACATAAACCAGGTGACAATATCCTTGTGCTTTAGTGAGGAGTAACTGCATGCACAACGTGGAGGTGCCTAAGACTAGAAAGGAGATATTTTGGCCCCGTCCGAGTTGTGTACAAAAGCAAGATTAAGTGTGTTTATTACTTCCCTAGCAGGCCTCGGGTCTCTCTCTGAGCCGGCATTGAGACCTATCGGAGAGTTAGGTCTCAGCTCAGTTTTCGGGGATGAAGAAGAAGCTGAGGATGAAGAAGAACTCCCCAGTATCCTCCTGCATCAAGGTGAGCGAGGGATAAGTTCCAGTATAACCTTCAGGCGTACTGTGAGTGATAGTTCTCACAGGCCCAATTTAGAACTGGGGGGTGGGGGTTTGTCTGTGTGTGCCTCAAGCCCTGCCCGTGTATTGAAGAGGCAGAAATGACCAGCTCTGGCAATCACAGCTGTGCTCGGAAAGGCCCCCATTCCATATAGAAGGGCCCAAAGGCCCCATCCACTCCTAGAGAACCAGTTTGGTGTAGTGGTAAGGAGCACGGACTCTAATCTGGGAGAAGTGGGTTGGAGTCCCCACTCCTCATGCAGCTGCTGGTGTGACATTAGGTCAGTCACAAGTTCTCTCCGAGCTGTTCTTTCAAGGGCAGCACTCGGGAGAGCTCTCTCAGCCCCACCTACAGTGTCTGTTGTGGGGAGGGGAAGGGAAAGGAGATTGTAAACCGCTCTGAGACTCCTTCGGGTAGTGAAGGGCGGGGTATAAATCCAGTATCATCTTCTTAGCCTGCCCTTAACCATGTCTGTGTTTTGCCTCTAGAGCCACGCGCAATGGAAGCGGGGATGCTGGTTTGGTGCAAGTTTCAAAGATACCCGTATTGGCCTGCTGTGGTGAGTAACTGCTTACTTAACTGCTTACTTATTGCTCTGTCTTGCCCTTACTCGAAGACGGGATACTGAGGGCTTCCCCCTGCCACTCATCGGCAGTAGAGGATGAGTTCTGGATAACTCCAGTTCTGGAGTGTCTTTGTTTCACCTTCACAGAAGGTATTGTATGACTTTTAGTTTTGGAGTCCAGTTAAAATAGTGTGTCACTGTTGTCCCACTCCTGGTCTTTCTCCACTGGTGTCCTCTTTGGTGAAGTGGTAGAGCCAGTTTGTTGTCGTGGTTAAGAGCGCAGACTCTAATCTGGGAGACCCGGGTTTGATTCCTCGCTCCTCCACATGCAGCCAGCTGGGTGACCTTGGGTCAGTCACAAGTTCTCTGAGAGCTATTCTCTCAAGGGCAGCTCTCTCTCTAGAGAGAGAGAGCTCTCTCAGCCCCACCTACCTCACAGGGTGTCTGTTGCAGGGAGGGGAAGGGAAAGGAGATCGTAAGCCTCTCTGAGACTCCTCCAGGTAGTGAAGGGCCGGGTATACATCCAATCTCTCCTCTTCGCTCTCTGAAGTTCAACACCTGCCTGCCTTGAAGAATTCTCCCTCCTGCCTTGTTCTGGGCAGAATCCTCTCTTGCTCCACGCACAGAGTCACAGAATCACAGAGATGGAAGGGAAGGGAAGTCCAATCCCCTGCACAAGGCAGGAAATTTACAAATACCTCTCCCCCACACACACACACACACACAACCAGTGACCACTGTTCCACGCCCAGAAGATGACAAAAAACCTCCAGGATCCCCCCCTGGTCAAACTGTCCTGGAGAAAAATTGCCTCCTGACCCCAAAGTGGCAATCAGCATTTCCCTGGGCGTGTCAGAAAGGGCCACGAGAACTAAGCACTGATGCAACCCTTCCTGCCCTCCCTTTCATGATCTGCCCAAGTTCACAGAATCAGCATTGCTGTCAGATGCCCACCCAGCAGGCCGTTCCATCTCCCTGGGGCAGTATCCAAGAAAGAATTCTGGTTCTTGATCTCTTAAATATCATTTTCTAGGGACAAGCGCTGGCAGATAGCACCAGGGGTGTTTATGCCTGGCTTGTAGGATTCCCAGATCCCAGTCTAAGGACGGCAATGCTGGAATACATAGGTATTTCTTCCAGTTCAGCTGGGTACTTGTGGTTTTGATTTAAAAGTATTTGTGGATGTATTTTTTTTAAAGCAGCATTTCAGAAACGGCTCAAGCCTTGGACAATGTGAGACTCTCTTTAAAAAACAAACAAACAAGTTTTGCTTTCGGATTTGTTTTCCAATAGGTGAAGAGCGTGAAGCGGAAAGCTAAGAAGGCCAGTGTGCAGTTCATAGAGAAGCATATGAATGACAAGAAGTCCAAAGGGTAAAGACAACTGGTCAA